GAGCTTTTCCATCTTTTCTTTCCACAGATGTAGTCAATTTGATTTCTGTGATTCACATAGTAATTATTTTTTCTGTGATCATGTAAAAATGTATTTATGTATGCTAAATTTGCTAAACTTTCAGTTAAAGGGATAAAAAGAAAGCTAGGTAATTTGATATTCAAAGACACAGTTTTTTCTAAGGTCTTTTACTTCATGATCATGGAAATTGTACCGTTTTCCATTTTGTAGAATATACTAGGTCTTGCTTTTGTGCATGACTTTGTTAGATGCTACTAAGATCAGTTCATTAAAATGGAAATATTATTTTGAAATGTGAGCTAACATTCTTACCCTTTAAAATACCTTTGGATACCGGAGCTCTTTAACACCATCATTTTACATTAGGAAAATAATAACTCTAGCAATGATGTAGTTGCACTTATTAGAAGCAGAATTTGTTTTGATTTTCAGGGAAAAGAACTCTTTATAAAATCACTTTTCTTATCTGAAAGCTTCGTAAATGTGGGATGTAGGAATACGTTGTTACATGAAAAAATCATGTCTATATGTTGTTATTGTTGCATACCATCCGGTTGCTTTTAACACATAGCAACCTTGTACAGGGTTTCCAAGAGCAGCTGGTGAGTTAGAATGGTTGACCTTGCAATTACCAGTCCAGTGCTTATCCTAAAGCATGTCACCAGGTTTCAGTATCTGTATGGTTGGTTGATTGGTTATGTGCCATGGAGTTGGTTCTGACTCATAGTGACCCTGTATACAGTTTCCAAGGCTGTAAATCTTTACAGGAGCAGAAAGCCTCATCTTTCTCCTGCGGAACAGCTGGTAATTTCAAACCACTGACCTTTAGGTTAGCAGCCCAACTGGTAACCACTATGCTATCAGAGCTACTTCAATGTCTGTATAAACTTTATAAAATAGCAGTGAAAGGATTGTGGACACTGTTTTTATTTGAAGATGTATAGTATTTTCAATGTTAATTGGGAGGCCATTGTTACAAGTGCTTATTTGAATAAGTTTAACTAACCTAAGGAACAAAATTTATTTATCAACCCTCATATGCATGTGGCTTGAGTTATAAAAGAGAATATGATAACCATACTATTTCTCACATTTCTAGAGAAAGCTACTTCCCAACAAATTCTCTTTTCACATATTAGGCATAGCAGAAATTTTGCTTTATGAAAATAGAATCTGATGATTCTACATAAAGCTGATCTGTAGGATATAACATGTTATATGTGAACCATAAATAAAAATCCATATTAGTTGTTGTCAAGTCAGTTCCAACTTGTGAAGACCCCATAAGTTTCAGGGTAGAACTGTGTTCTTTCGGGTTTCTTACATTACCAATCTTTCAGGCATTAGTTGAGTACTTAGTAGTTTTCACCACCCAGAGATTTCAGAAAGGAACATAAAAATCTTGTTGTAATATGGTTGTCCAAGTTCATGTCAGAAAACAAGTTTTATAGCCACAGCCTGCTGAGATTATGCCTCACTTGCATTTTGATAGAAGGGAGGAAGTTGATGTCAGAAAGGATGATAAGGATAATTTTGAAGCATTTATTAGGTGCAAAGGTATTTTTAGACTGGGCAGTGTTTCATTCTGTTGTGCATAAGGTTGCTATGAGTCGGTGCTGACTTGATGGCACTTAGCAATAACAACAACAACAAGGCATCCGTGGAGTCCTGGTGTGGTTCTGTAGGTTAATGCGCTGGACTGCAAAGTCAGTTTGAACCACAAGGTTGGCGGTTTAAGCTCACCAGCTGCTCCTCAGAAACCCTATACAGGGTTGCTATGCTATGAATTGGAACTGACTTGATGGCACTTAACAACAACAAGGTATCCTTATGATTATTTATTTTGTCCCATTA